TACAGTATTACATTTTCCCATGTTTTTAGGAGTGTTGGTTGTATAGTGCAGGACCTATACGCTGTAGACCATTCGGAATTCGGCGGGTGGAGGTTGGTTGTTACGTGGTCAGTGTCACGTCGGCCGCCTTTACTTCCCAGAAATTTGCTAGGAATCTATTTTAGACTGGATCAACCTCGGAGACAAAGTCATTTTGGGAGGGGGAAAAACCTGGCTTGATGCCGATTTGAACCCACGATCTTAGGGCTACTGGCATAGCAAGGTCTGGTGACACACACACATATACATACACACTTTTTTAATGTGAAAAAGAAATATGTGCATTTTGTTAAGGCCTCCACCAATAATGACACCCGGGGTGTAACACCACCCCCCTTCTCCCACGCCACTGCTCCAGGCCACGGGCGAGCCTCTAGCTGCTACACAACGGCGGCTCCGTTACTGTTAGTGATTAAAATGGAGCCATTATCTTGGCTAGCAAGCTCACTAGCTACTCTGCCACCCCGGCTTCCCAGTCTTGCTGGCACGACTAATTACCGTAACCGCAACCTAGTTATGAACGTCGAAAGTTATACACGATACCAACTGGATAAGATAATGCATGCATAAGTTTGTGATACAGTGACCTATGTTGTAACACAAGCCAGATAACCTGACAGATTACTTCAGCTGTACATTGCGACCATAGCTAAACGAAGTCGTGGATGTGTTACAGAGTCGAAGAAACTAGTTGATGTCTTTATGTTTTGCAAATGATCTCCATCTGTTTGCTCGTCTACCCAACCGTCAATCGGTTGTTCCATCAATGTGTCTTTTGTACTATTCTTTACTTCGTCTATTCATCCACCAAACCCTATGTTTGTGTTACCGGCTGTCAGTATGTCTGCTCATGTGTTCGTATGTATGTCCTGTTCGACCATACACCACAACATGTGTCTGTCTGTTGGTTGCTTTGACCGCCTGCCCGTACGTCCATGTGTCTGTTGTTGTGGGTTTTTTTTTAACTAGTCAGTTTGTCCGTCCGAGTTTTTGTCAATTGTTCCTGCAAAAATAACTGCGTCTGTTTGTTTCCGCATGTACATGTGTCTTTCTGAGTATACGTGTGTCCACCCGCTCGTCCACCCATCTGTCACAACTAAAGTTTTTTTTTGGGGGGGGGGGGGGGAAGGGGGTCTGCTTATGGTGCCTATTTACTTAGTAAGTAAAAAAAAGGTAAAGGACCCTTGTCCACGCCTTTAGCATATAGGGCTAGACCTATATTTTTATAGACCAATCGGCACAAGATGGGTGATGTGGTCATCATCACGCCGGCCGCCTATACTTCCCGGGACTGCACCAGGTACCCACTCAAGACTGAGTCAGTCTGGGAGCCAAGGTCATTTTTGAAGAAAGTACGGCTCCACCAGGGAGCGAACCCACGACCTTCCGATCACAGCGACTCCCTCATTTACTAACATACTTAGCTCATTAACAAACCACCATAAGTAATATCGACCGTATCACATGGAGCCTATCGTTGTGTAGCAACTAGACGCTCGCCTGTGGATCTGAAGGTCGTGAGCACAAAATCCTCACGATGCCGGCTTTTTTGTATTTCAAGCATGACCTTGGCCTCCAGGTCGACCCAGCCTTTAATTATTGGGTATCAGGTAAAGTCCACTCAGCTCATTGACCACTAACTATGAACCTTTGTTAACAGTGAAAGTGCAATTCTGGTGATGTGTAATAAGTTCTACTGGCGTCTCCAGAACGATACTACAGAGCTCGGTAGATGGTAAGAGGAACAGAGATCAGGATGCATAATTGGTTCGTTGTTTCTGAAAGGGGCAGAGTTGGTGGGAACCGATCAGGTAGTCAACGGCAACGATACGCGATGTTATGTGACTACATTGATGAGGAATTATTTAGTTAAACTTATTTTCTCTATTCCTGGAAGGCTTCAGGACAGGAGGAGATCTCTGGAACGGCCCTTCTGTTCGCTTCGTATAAAGTACTTTTCAGCGTCTCTGATATTTCTGCGTGGTAGACCTCTGGCTCTGTTACCGTTGTATGTGTATAACATTGCTGTCTGTGGTACCATGTATAATTAATGGTTGAAAATACTCCTTCATTTCAATGTCACTTCCGCTAAGATATAAAATGGCGGATATCTTCTTATCAGAATAACACTACGGGTCACTTTCTGAACTCATAACATTTGCAGATACCTACTTTATCAATTTCGTTTCGCAACAGAAACCTGCTGATGGGGAGAGAGAGAGAGAGAAAACACAGTCCTGTTACTGATGGAGTTTGAAGCCTGACTACTTTATTTTCAGACAAGCCCGTAACCACTATACCAGTCTGTTATCATCTACATTTATATGCACTGCTGATTCCATTATCCAGGCATCACATCAGTCATTAGTAATGGATTCTAAATTAAACAAAGATCACTCTACGGTGAATGATAAATGAAACAAACACAATTTCCAGTGTGCCAATTTTGTATTATCACATTATAAAGAATATCATGTGTAAAGAAAAGAACAAATGCATTCATACTTCAAGAATTGAATATTGAAGAAGGATGCCTATCAAAGACGACAAAACAACAGAAAAATTGAAATATTTTGGTCACTTGAAACCGCATGAAAGTTTAGAGAGAACTTTAATGGAGGGGTATTTACCTTGGAAGAGAGGAATAGGCAGGCGAAAGAGGAGATGGGTGCAGGAAGTGGCGGATGATCTCCAGATGGGTGTATCGGACGCGGGACGTCTTGCTTGTGATCGAGAAGTTTTCCAGAAGGTTGTTATTGGAGCAAGGTAGCAAGGTTCTGCAAAGAACATGCTACTGACTGTGTATGTGTATATGTGTGTCATTTAACACCCATAGACGTGTATACCTGGAGATGTGTCCCAACTTAGCACTTGCAGATGTTGAGCATGTCCTCCAAGTCTGAACTGTATGTTGCTTACAGAGAAACCATCTGACCTGCTGCCATCTTAATCGAGACAACATTGTATGAAACGTACACTGGATAAATCGACTGCACCGTATCTTTCATAGTTGAGTTGCTGGTCTCCTGATATACGTTTTCTGACAAAAGGAACGAAGATGAAGAAGAAGCAGAAGAAGAAGAAGAAGAAGAAGAAGAAGAAGAAGAAGAAGAAGAAGAAGAAGAAGAAGAAGAAGAAGAAGAAGAAGAAGAAGAAGGAATAGGAGAAGAATGATCAGCGGTAGAAGAAGCAGATGACATAATTCTTGTAATCTTCTTCTATTCTTTATCCATTCAATGGAGAGTAGGCCCTCAGCCAACTCACGACAAATCGTGCTATCCACTGCTTTCACATGCAACTAGTCCAAGTCTTCACTATCTTTTTCACGTCACTCTCTACTTCCCGTCTGCATGTGTTTGTTGGTGTACCTTTATTTCTTTACCCCTGTAGGTTCCAATTTTAAGCCCTTCTAGTTATATTGTTGTCAGGTTTTGTTAATGTGTGTCTCATCCAACGCAGCGTCTTTTCCTCACCTCTTGATTCTTGTAATCTAAGAGGCGGATATAGCTGAATTTCAAAATAATTGACGCAGTAAATCAAGGACCGAGATTCACACACCACCTGATGATAGTGGCCAGGAATAACTTAATTAAACCCAGTGATTGCTAAGCGGCGTAATGTTGCGCTTTAATAGCTTTTTCTGCTTGTATTCTTTGCATTCCTGTTTCAGTGTGTCATTATCATTAGCCCCAGTAATTGAATCTCCCTGCGTGGCTTCAGTCTTATCTCCGTTGCTGTCAATGTAAACTCTGGTCGCTTTTTTTTTATGTAGTTGCAGGCGTATTATTCTTTTATATATTATCACAGTCGATGTCAACTACACTTTGGGCACTCCCCTGCGTGCGCAGTCCAAAAATATATTAGCTGTCAGAAGGTACATATAATCTATATTCTAATCAGCAGTCGATTATAATACCCCTTTCTGGACCTTTATTGTATCTTGTCTCGGAAGCTGAAATATTTTGGAAACATCTAGCGCCATTGTGGAATGGAAACAACATAATAGCAGAAGGCTTGGTACCAGGGCCTGACCACCAAGAAGATGGGAACAGGATATAAGTGGCTCCTTGCATACGAAAGTACACTAGGCATTAGAGCCGGCGAGAGACTGAGTTTCGGACAGACCGTGATGAGAGCGACATTCTGCAAAGAACCTGCTACGTAATGTTGATGATGAAGTTTTATTATATCCAAAATGTCTTGACCGTTGCCCGCTGGTGATAGAGAGGCGGAAGACAGATGAGGAGGATTAGAATGAGTAAGTGAAGGGAAGTAAAGGTCCCTTTTCACTCAAGTAGCTTGCCGGGCTTACGATACTAGATCGTTGGTACTCGATGGGTGATGTGATCATCATCACTTCGGCCGTCTTTACTTTCCAAGACTTTGCCGGGACCCATTTTAGATTAAACTAAGATCGATAACAAAACTGAAGTATTATGATAACTCAACATAAGATAACATGTTTTTTAAAACGTATTCAGATCTCTTTAATATCACCCGTGTAAGTTCAAGAAACACACCCACACACACTACAAGAGGAAAACGTAGGGTTACACTGTGTGATTGTAATATCTTTAGTAATTTTATTTTGTTACTATTCATTCTCTCTCTCTCTCTCTCTCTCTCTCTCTCTCTCTCTCTCTCTCTCTCTCTCTCTCTCTCTCTCTCTCTCTCTTTCTGTGCGTTTTGTGTGTGTTGAGCTTCTTGTTTTAAATTTGTGTTCATTTCAGATTTAAGAAGATAGATAATGTAGATAGCAGGGGTAGAACGACTTGAGGGAAGGCATGTGTTCCACTGATGGGTTAATAGACCGCTGTTGTTGTAGTAGTAGTAATAGTAGTAGTTTTTGTTGTTGTTGTTATAGTAGTGGTAGTAGTATGTCATTTTGTTGTTATAGACAAATAGTTGAAGCCTGAGAACTGTTGATTCGCCTATGTTCAAACGAATCCTATGCGACCATGTTAGTGGGGAGGTAAGCATTGTGGAACAAAGCTCTCATTACAGTAAAACTCCGACTGGTAAGAAAATCTGGAGGAACCAAACAAGTGAACTGCCATGTAATAGACCTCCGAAAAGAACATACACTGAATCAGTTTTATCTCAGTACATTTCAGTTCTACAGTAAGTTTGTTGAAACTGCCGCTTGAGAGAACATTGCGCTGAATTTTCTTACAAAACTCATTATCATTACTGTTGCTTTCCAAAAAAGCGCCTTCCGGTGACTTCTGCCTAGGAAGGATAACTTTTTCTTTGGCTTGGCGAAACACAAATTTGTCGTGGCGCTCATGTTTTAAGTCAGTGTTGATTTCACTGCCAGATATGGAGGCAGCATGTTCCTTTCTTATACTTGGCAGGAAGTGCTGTAGAAGACTGCTTTTCTGAACCATGTTGTCGTTCACCTGAAGGTACCGAGCTAACATTCCCGCCCATTTAGTGACCACTTTATCTGTATACAGCTGGATAAATTCGTGTGCACATTCATACTTATCCATCTTGTTGCACAGCATGTTATGACTGGCAATTACTTCCCAAAAAATTGGCTTAAATTTGCCTGCGAATTTGTCCAGTATGGCCAGCACATCTGTCTGGCGCTGTAGTTTTTGTATATGTTCTCTTGGTCTCGGGTTCTCTTTATCGAATGATGAATGCAGAAAGTCGTTCCTGCAAGCTGTGGTCGTGTCGTGCCGAAATGCCCGGTCACACGTAGCCCTGGTCATGTTGTATGCCACGGCCTGTAAGAAGGTGGAGTTAGGATGTGAGCAAGTTTCATATCGTCTGTATCACGTAAAATATAGAATAAACAAATGAACACAAGTTATAGCTAGGAAACTAGAACAGGAAGGAGACTCACAGATCAACATTGCATCACTGTCTTGCTTCTTCATCTAGTGTTCGCTTCTCTGATTTACACGGACAAACGAGTTTTGTGATAAAATTGACCGTTTTTTTAAAAACAAATGCTCAATAGATCAGTACATCATTGAGTATGACGTTGACTCATTAGGCCATCATACTATTGTTAAGGGGCTGTATAAGGGGCCACTCTTGTAGGACATCTTCTGCAGTTTGCACCAATAACTTACATAGACACATTGATGAACTACTATTCAGTTTCCCGCTAGGGAGTTGAGATCCCAACCTTCCATTGGATTACACTGTGCTGAGGAGAAAGGGTCCACAACGCAAAGGCGAGGTAGGTTTAAGCAAGAAAAGCTAATCGAGTCTTGTACAGCGCAATATCGCTCCTTTGGGATCCCGCCGTCTTTCTTGTTCCCACGATATCTGCTGGCATCAGTTTGGACTGGATCAACCTCAAAATAGCAGATCATTTTAGAAGCCCGACTTGTTGTCGATTGGAACCGAAGACCTTCAGGTCGACAGGCCAAGTGTCTAATCACGGCGCTACCGTGACGCCAGTCTCTCTAAACGTAAAAATGTAAAATTATGGATAGTTTATGTAGAAGTTGCAGAGATGTGGTATTAAAGACAAATGATGAGAATACCCTAATCTGGAGTATATCGTGACCATGAGAAAGTTAAATGGGAAAAGAGGCAAAGGGAGACCGAAAGAAATGCTGGACACGTTGACAGCATACTATGGGGGATCAGCTGTGTCAGATTTGATTTAAAGTACCTAAGACAGACGATTATAGATAGGATATGACTATCAACGACACCTGGCATGGACTTTATGGGGGGGGGGGGGGGGGGGGGGGTTTACACGCGCACACACGAGAGAGAGAGAGAGAGAGAGAGAGAGAGAGAGAGAGAGAGAGAGAGAGAGAGAGAGAGAGAGAGAGAGAGAGAGAGAGGTACTTACACAACTGTAGCAAATATCATGCCTATTACACGACGGGGTGAAACGTTTTTTGTAGAAGAAGTTCAGGCCAAAAGGAATGCTGCAGCCACTAACGTCATACCGGTAGCAGATATCTGTCCCGTTAGCAGGCGAATCTGAAGCAGACGTTGAAACTGCTATCAGGACGTTGTGTAGTATAACCGTGGTGAGGAATGCTGCCATGTCGGCTGATTTAGATTTCACGAGATTTAATCCTGCAAAAAAAAAAAAAAAATGGATAGTAAATATAATATAATGGCTCCCAAGTCACCCTAAAGCACATTATAACACTATCATCAAGAAAAACAGAAGGCGTCAACTTGTTGCAAATACTTTAGGCTGCAAACTATTATTAACGCATCTTGCCTGGAGTGGTAAAGTATAGGGCTGTACGGAATATTCGCTTCGTATTCGCTTCGGGGCCGAATAGTGGACATAATAACTATTCGGTATTCGGCCGAATAGTTGCGGTCGGGCCGAATACGAATAGTGGTTACCTTACACCAGTTTCTGGACTGATGGAAAATAAACATGTCAAGATTTCCGACCTTGGTTCATACTGTCAAGCATTATCTTTGTGCACCACCTACGAGCGTACCAAGTGAACGTCTGTTTAGTACAGCTGGAAATACCTTCAGTGAGACAAGAAGCTGCCCTAATGCTGACAACATGGAGCGATTTTTTTTTCCGAAAGGTAATGCCGCTTTCATTGATTAACTAAGCTGTCAGTGACAATTTACAAGTTTAGTTACTTGTTATAAAACTAAGAATACTTTCATTCGAAGCTATTAGTTACCACAGACTGACTGACTGAAGGATGCAAAACATGACATGTTTTTAAATGTTTACTATTCTGGCCTAGATTTTGTGAAGTAAAATTTCAGCGTACATTTGACATTATGGATGTTTTTTTTTTTTTTTTAGATCTATTTTATTCACGAAAGTGGACGAATGGGCCTCAGTTTGAATAGTGGGAAGACAGAAGTAATGGTGGTATCAAAGACAATAATTATTCCTAAATGTGTAATAAAAGTCAATTGTTTTATTTTGGGACAAGTACAGAAAAGTACGTATCTGGGCACATGGATAACCTCAGAAGGAAGATGCATTACTGAAATAAGAAACAGAATAGGACAGGCGAAAACTGCATTTTATAAAATGAAGAACATCTTATGCAATATATCTTTGTCACTGAAGGTTAGAAAAAGAATTCTTGCTTGCTACATACATCTAGTTTTAATATATGGCTGTAAGTCCTGGACAATTGGTAGGCAGGCCAAACAATTTCTTGAGGCCTCAGAGATGTAGTTTTACAGAACAATGCTTAAAATACCTTGGACAGCCACACACACAAAAAGTTACTAAGAGGTTTTGATAAAGGCGGGAACCCGAAGACAACTACTTACAGACATCAGAAGGAGACAGTCATAATTTTTCGGCCATGTTATAAGATAAGGGAAAATGGAACAAGTGGTGACCACTGGAAAAATATGTGGAAGGAGGGATAGACGAAGACACGAGAGAAGATTCTTGACAGTCTTGTTGCATGGCATGGAGGTGTGTCAGCACACGAACTAATGCATGCTGCAGGAGATCGCAGATTGTGGCGAGGCATAATCGCCCATGCCAGTCGGCAAAGCACCTGATGATGATGATTCACTATTCGTATTCGTAGTCGTATTCGGCCGAATAGTTATTCCATCTATTCGGCCGAATAGTGAAAATCACTATTCGGTACAGCCCTAGTAAAAAATATTGTCTTATTTATTCGCCAAGCTTCACTCCTAGGTTACGCAATCCGGTTAGCATCAGCGATTCATCATTATCCCCCCAATCTAGTCTGTACGGTGTTGATAAATGATATTAGTTCTGTCTATGCTTATTCCCGTTTGCACTGGTACATTACTTGCCAACTGGTCAGCTGTTCCGTTACCTTCTACTCCAGCATACTCAGGTGTGTAGATCCAGATAATAGAAGGTAACTGCGACTTCTGAATGCTTTCTACCTATTAAACCGTCTGTTGTTATTTTAATACCTCTGTATTTCTGTAGGTAGAGAGTGTACCTTTCTTTGGCTGGTTAGCCCATGCGTTTGGCAAAATCCTCTGCTAGTACTTCCGTAGGTAGAGAGTGCGCCGCTCTGTGGATTAGAGGTTGTTAGCCCATGCGTTAAGCTAGTGCTAGGGATACATTTTTTCCCCCCTATCAAAGTTAAAATTGTTAGAGCACGCATCTTCCCCGTAGCAATGTAAAGATGTAGGTCGTGGACAAACTCCGGAAGAAAATAAAAGCGTTTGAGCTGAAATGCTATAAAAAAGATTCTCTGAATACCATAGACATAATAGAAAGGAAATACTGACACTCTAACAGATATGAACATTAAGAAAGATTGGCTAATAAACAGCATCTTGTCTCGGAAGCTGAAATATTTTAGTCATACCAATCGCAATTGTCCTGCTTTAGCAATGCGGAGATTAAAGAGAACCTATAGTTTCCGTCTGTAAATTAAAGTAAAAATCTTGAAATCATGCATTTATCCTGTGGCAACTTACGGTTGTGAGTCCTGGACTTCCAATCAGTCACTGAAGAAAAAAAATTGAACTTTTGATTTAAAATGTTACAGAAATATTCTTAGAATACCATGGATCAGGAAAAACATCAACATTCTACACAAGTTAAACATCGAGGAGAACTGCCTCAAAAACAGCATCATGGCCCGAAATATTATGGCCACATCAAACTTCATGATGGCTTGGAAAATACAGTGGATGGGGAGTGCAGTTTGTGGAAAGCGAGGCAGAAGATGGATGCAAGACATTGAAGATACACGGGCATTGAAAGCACATGGGAGCTAGAGAGTTGGATAGGAAAAGTGATACTTTTAGGAGTACCGTGAAGAGAGCTATGTTCTGTAAATGACTTGCTGACTGATGATAATTAAACTCCATGGCGGATTGGAAACAAGTAATAGCAGAAAGCATAGTACCAGGAAGGAGCAGGCAGGGGTCAACCCACACAAAGACAAGTACAGGCTAGAAGTAACTCCTTGACAAGGTCATGTTTTGAAAAAGTCAGGTCCCGTCAGGACCCGATCCCACGTCCTTCCGATTCGCAGGCGAGCGTCTAGCCGCTACACCACGGCAACTTCAAGTTTGCTTATAGTGAACTACCTTTTATTTTTGTAATTGAATCCCCTTGTCAGAAAAAAAAAAAAACTAATTCTTTTGTCCGTCCAGGGGCGGTGGAGTTGGGGTGTTTAGGGGTGAGCTCGGGGGGGGGGGGGGATAGACTAACTGCCCCTGAACAAGCATGTCGTAAAAGACGAGTAAATATTGATTTACTGAAAGGGGCATATATAGCAGCATAGCTTCAAACCACAACCTAATGTACCAACCGCTTTTTAAATAGTCCATGCCTGGTCGGAACTTGAGGTTATTTTATATAACGTTACAGTTGAACGGGACTTATAAATAAAATTATGTGTCATCTCCACAAATATGGTTGGCTGCAGTGTACCACTGTTGTCTTTGGAAATATTACTATATATTTAGGGGCTGCGTTGTCTCGAGGCATTACGTCCGCCTGGAGTCCTGGAGGTCGCGGTCCAGGCCACGGTGAAGGCTAGAGGTTTTTTCACGTGGTCTTCTATTAATTTCCCCTGCTCTATGGATAGTAAGATTGGAACACCCGTGTATATTATAGCGCACTAATAAAATCTCTCTTCTTCTTCTTCTTCTTCACTTCCTCTTTTACCGCTGTGGGTGTCGAGGGAGATATAAGGTTCTGTTTCTAGCTCTTCTGGCTGCCTCGACCATAGGCACATCGTGCTATTGTAGAGTTTCTCTGATGTTATCCTTCCATCTTGTTCTTGGTCTACCCCGTGCTCTACGTCCTTTTTCTCTTTCCATGTATGCTTTCTATGGTATGGTGTCACAAGGCATTCTCGCTAAGTGGGCAAACCATTTCACTTGCTGTCTTTGTATGTAATCCAGAATTGGTTCTGTGCCGACTTGTTCTCCTTTGATCTGATTCCTGTTCTTATCTCTTATGGTCACTCCTACAGCCCTTCTCAAACATCTCATTTCCGTGGTTACTAATTTTCTTTTATTGTTTGTTGTGAGTGACCATGTCTGGCACTGGTAGCACAGAGTTGGAATAAATATGCTTTGAATAAGATGTCTCTTTGTGCTGATTGGGATTGTCTTATGCTGTAAGAGGGGGGCTAGCTGTCCCAATACTTGGTTTGCTTTACTGCATCTAATGTCAATTTCTTTATCCAATTTCCCATCTTCGGTAAATGTAGTTCCCAGATATTTAAACTCAGATGCCTGTTTAATGTCTTTGTATTCTATTGCTATGTTTAGATCTGTCTTCTTTTTTCCTATTGACATTACTTCTGTCTTTTCAGTGTTGATTCTCATATTATTTGTTTTACATTCTTCATTCATGGATGTTAGATGTTGTTGCAATTTCATGGCTGTATCTGCTATCAAGGCCTGGTCATCTGCAAAGAGTAATTCGTTGATCTTACTACGATCTTCATTCATGGGCTTGGCATTCTTGCATATACTGTCGATGTAGGTGATAAACAGCAGTGGTGATAAGACACACCCTGTCTTACTCCAGAGGTCACTGTGAAAGGATGAGGATGTTCCCTGATTTATATATTTATATATATTTATAAAATCTCTCGGCAGTTGGAAATCGAAAAGAGTAACCTAATGGCACTGCATGAGCAAAATTTAAAGTTAAAAATCTACCCAAAGTATCTCAGGATCCTCGCCGATGCTATGCAATTCGTGCACAACGATGAGCTTCTTCGGACTCAGGCCTAAGTCAGAAGTAGAACGGAGAACTCATGGGTTGTGCCACGATGTTGATCCATTGTATAAACCATATAATATTACTTGGTGAGGCTCCAGTCTCTTCCACTGTGCGACTCTGGTCCAGTGTCCGAAAACCACAAGAACGTATTTTTACCCGTCCAACGCGGGGAACTAACCACAGTACATGAGGATCACGAAACTGTTAACCGCATTCGCTGGCTTCTAAGCCACGGGAATTAGCAGGATGTGTATTAGTAGGGTTTTCATCCTTGAGGGGTTAATTAGAAAAATTCTTTCTAGAATGCCCTGGACAAACGGCACCACGATTGGTTTCTTTAGAGTTTAGAAACTGGTGGT